AGTGATTCACTTGGCATTGCAGCACTTCAAGGACCATGTTCGGGATCGAGACGTCTTGGTGCTGACTGACAATGTGGCGGCGAAGGCCCACGTCAACCGACAGGGCGGCACAGACTCCAGGGCTCTTCAAACCAAGGCGATGGCACTTGGCGCCTGGGCAGAGAGGCATCTTCAATTGCTCAGGGCAGAGCACATCACAGGAGTGAACAACCATCAAGCCAACTGGCTCAGTTGGGCCATGGTCGACCACAGGGAGTGGAGCCTTTCTCCGAAACTGTTCCAGTCATCTGCTCTATGTTCGGCCATCCGGAGGAGGACCTGTTTGCCACACCGCAGAATGCTGAGGTGGATCAGTTCTTCTCTTGGTTCCTGGCTTGGGGGATGGAGGGAGTCGACACGCTTCGGATTCCGTGGCCGGAGGGTCTGCTCTACACCTTCCCTCCCCTTCCCTTCTCTCTGGGGTTGTTCAGAAAGTGATATCAGAGAAGGTGGAGCTCATCTTAGTGGTGCCATACTGGCCCCAACGGGCGTGGTTTGCGGACCTAATGTGCCTGTCAGTGTCACACCCGTGGAGGATCCCAGGGAGGGATGTGGACCTCAGACAGGGGAACCTGGTGCATCCCAAGCCAGAGTGGCTGCAGCTAGCCATGTGGAGATTGAGCAGGAGCGCCTAAGGGCCGCCCAGCTTTCACAGAGGGTGATCTTCACACTTGAGGCTTCACGCAAGGGTTCCACCACTAGGATTTATGATTCCGCCTGGCGGGTCTTTGCAGAGTGGTGCTGGGTCTCTGGAGCAAATCCTTGGGAGGCTTCGGTACCGCATGTCTTGGAGTTCCTCCAAGATGGATTGGATAGGGGGCTCTCACATGGCATCCTCAGGAGACAGGTGGTGGCCCTCTCCACTATTATTCGGGGAGAGGGGCTCCTTCCACTTTCCCAAGTCGCGTTAATTAAGAGGTTTTTGAAGGGTGCCGGGAATCTTCGTCCCCCAGTAGTCCACAGGTTTCCGACATCACTACGAGCCTCACTACGGTTCTCCAAGCAATGACAGGAGCACCATTCGAACCTCTGAGGACGGTTTACCTGAAGTTTGTAACTCTTAATGTAGTGTTCCTTGTGGCGGTCACCTCAGCCCGTCGCATCTCTGTACATCAAACACCCTGGGTGGAAGAATATTTCTCTCTCTTTCTCATTCTCTTTAGCTTTTTATCATTCTGTTCTATTCAGAGAAGGAATAGATTGCTGTTATCAGAAGTCTGAATACACCCTTAAGAAAAAAAATAGGTTCTTATACTAATCCATGGGGGCTAAATATTGTTCTTAGTTTTAGTAACATTTTTAATTATTAAAATATTGAGGATGGTAGGGACCTACAGCTCCCTGCTCAAAATCTTTCTTCAGTTTCATGTGGAACCAAATTGTGTAATAAAACTACAGTAATCTCATTATAGTTTAAGTATAACTGA